ATCTTTGGAAATGTTTAAGATTTTTAAGAACTTATTTTTATACATTATTAATTTAATATTTAATTTAAACCTAATTTTACATATTAATGTAAAAATAAATCAGGTTATTAAAATGTTTGAAAATGTTTAAATTAAATCTAGTTACCTAATAATCATCTTCAGTGAAATAATATTCAAAAATTAAACAATATATGCGAGAAACACTTCTTTTTATAGAAATATGAATCTTACTCATTTGATTATATGGCAACAAATTGTACTTAATAAAAATTTCTCCACAATTTTATTCAAAATTAATATCAATATTCTATTTAACAAACGTCTTAAAGAAACGTCTTAAAGAAAAAATCCCTAACCATAGCGAATAGAACAAAGTTTATTAAGCTAAAGGTAACTGTGAGAGATAAATGGAGAGTAGTACAGACGTACGTGCCACTTATATGTGGTACTGATAAGTACTAACCAATTTAATAATAATTTCTTGATTAATAGCGACAAGTGTTGTGAGTTTTTAGTAATCTGGAACTCGGAATATCAGAGAGAAACATATAAACCGATCCACCGTAAAGAGGACAGTGGATGTCCTCAATATTAATATTAATATTAATATTAATATTAATATTAATATTAATATTAATATTAAATAATTAATAATATTAATATTAATATTAATATTAATATTAATATTAATATTTATATTAACATATAAAACTAATTATTTATATTAATTCTAATATTAATATTAATATAATAAAATTAATATTAATATTAATATAATTTTAATTTTTATATTTATTTTTATATTAATATTTATATTAATATATTAATAATTTATAAATATTAATATTAATATATATTAATTAATATATTAATATTTATTAATATTAATATTTATAAATTATTAATATATTAATATCAATATTAATATCATTAAAATATGTTAAAAAGTAATGCGATAATAATCTGATTACCTCAGTTTTTTACTTTAAAATTATCATTGGAACTTTGATTTTATTTTCAGTAAAATAGTACTGAGTAAAATAAAAATACATGATATGTTAAAAAAATATTAAATTTAATTAGATTTAAACATTACTCCCTAATTCTTAACGTTAATCCTTAAATCGATTGCAATAACATGATTACAATAAACTTTCAAAAATACATGTGATTAATAATTTTGTTGTGTGTGGTCATATTAAATCGAAGATGAATAAAAGAAAGCTGCTCTTTATTATGAATTAAATTATAAAATCACATGACATGACTATTAAAACTTAAATAGATAAATAAAAAATAAAATTATGATAATTATTCATATGAACAAGTTATCATCGATTATGTTGATATGTGAAGCAATATCTAAATCTTAATTTATTGTATTTAAATCCTACAATTAATTATGAATTCATTATTTTGCATATTCAAAAATTTAAAACGTTTAAAATAATAGTGATGATCTATATATAATTAAAAATTTAAATTAAAATTTAAAATATTGTATGTGAAATATATGCTCAGCCATTAATTATTATTTCAAAAATACTATCTATAATAATAGAGATACTATACTATACTATAATAGAGTAAAATTGCTAAAATGTTTTTTTATTAAGAGAATCTATATGTGAGATATGTTTATCAAATCCATTAAACAAATAAATCATATATATTATGATATATTATGTAAAGTTTTTAAAAAAAAAATCTCATGATCAAATTTACATATTCACATATGTAAATTAGACTGGCCACAAACATTTTATTTTTTATTTTTTGAACATTTTATTTTGATGATAAATTTTAGATCGATCGCTTTGTACCAACCCGTGCCAAGTTAAGCTTAAAATTGGGAAAAAAAATCTTAAACCCATCTTTTTGTACCAACCAGTTCCAATGATGAAAAAAGCAAACTGTACTTGTTGCAATTGTTGAATATTATCAAGTATTCATCCATTCATCCATCAAGTATCCAAATCATACTAAATCGTCATTATTAAGCCGAAAACATGATGAATTTCTAAACTAAGAATAGTAAAGCAAAGTGGTTTTTTTCCCACTAATGACTTATATATTCCAGATTAAAATATAAGAAAAAGAAACTGAAGTTATAAAGAACTATTTAAAATTTAGTTTCCATATGTAGATATAAGATATGTATTTTATCGTAATATTAAACTAATCTATCGATACAGAAATACTTTTGAAGAAGATATAATAATGAATTAAATAAACTTAATGAAAAACATGGTATTATATGCATTTTTTGATCAGAAATTATGACAATGCAAAAAAACATCTCAACACAAGAGCGATGAGATTAACCAACTACTATTAGAACAAAGACAGAAAATGGACAAGTACGAAGTAAAATTATGAGGAACACAAGAAAATATTGAAAAGCAGATAAGAACAATAAGAATAGCAAACTTTATAAAGAAAGCAGAAATGCGCAGAACTGGTAGAAAATTGAAAAGCAGGCCCTAAATCAACACAAAATTTAATACCAAGAGTAACATGTTTCCGATTTCCGAATACGCCACTTGTGTAAATTTATTTGTTAATTATGAATTAATTTGTAAAAGCTCATAATATCAAAAAGCTTATGGGCAGTTTCAGTAATATATCCATTGATATTTGTAACTTTAATATCCTTATGTACTTCCGAATTTCTTATATAACACACTAGTCTTCGAAGATTAACAAGCTTTTTTAACGTAGTATGGACCGCTTTACAAAACCCTACGGAGCCACAAATAAAGCTTGGTTACTGGATATATCTGTATAAATAGGATTTTCTGCTTGATACTAATTTTTCTGTCCAATAGAGGCCCCTCATCGTTAGTGCAATCAATTTAAAAATGGTATATGCTAGTTTGCGTTAGATTGCTTCTGGCATATCTTTAGTGAAAACAATCTACATTGATGTAGTATATACCTGACAAATTGTCGCTTCAAAATAACTTAAAACGTTATATGAAAGGTATTTCAAATACTTTTATAGTAGATATATATATCTATATTAAAAATGTTTAGTTCTATTAACATTTAGTTACCAGAAAAGTTCATTGGCATATATTTGGTCTAAAACAACTTTTAATTTTAAGCTTTTAAAAAGTCTAAAAAATTGCTTAACTTATTTTTAAGATTTTTTTATTGAGTTGTGCAAAAAGTCGGACATGGTAACTTGTTATATTATAAATAGCAGTTGTTACCGCATAATTAAACAACTAATTAAAAATCTTCAGGTCAAATACAGTTATTACAAGAAAAATAAAATATATAATTTATTATAAATAATTATTAGATTTTATAGAAAAATGATTTAGGTATATGTCAATATCAGTATTATTTATATTTTGAAGCTGTGTTGAAGAAAACGTCTTCTTTAAATTGTTTAATTCTGTTTAGAATTAATTATTAATGACCAGTTAATATGTGTTTATACTTTCAACCAAATTTTGACAATTTTTTAGCTATAAAAGTGTTGTTTTTACTTTATTTAATGAACGTATGATTATATTAAGGCCGTGTGCGAGTTCGAGTAAATTGAGGTAAAGTAGATTGAAATTTCCTACAGATTTTTTGCACTGCATTTATGCACAGTTATTTCTTGCACTTATTTATTATTTTTGGTTACAAGTTTTCATATTTATTTCTTTATTTATTAAACATCTTATAAAATGTTCACAATGGTAACACCTATTTTACTTAATTTTTCTATAATTTACCCTACTCGAAATTCAGATAAATACCAACATACGTTGCCATACCGACATAATTTACTATTTATCTTAATTTACTCGAACTCGCACACGGTCTAAGTATATCTATAAAACCGGAACATATTTGGAGAGTTCACAATCTCGACAGCAAGCTTGCTCGTTAACCGAGTAACATGTTAACAGTACAAAGCGATATGAACCAAGTTCATAATCGTGAATATCACTATTTTCTTTTGTCTTAAGATGCTCGCTCTTTTAGCATCACTACATTATCACAACTTGTTTACATATTGTGGTAAATATATTGGCAAAATAATTAATATCTCACTGGTTGCAATTTTCTGATTTAATGTTAATATTGTATAAATGTTTTTTAAGTTTTTTAAGTGAATATTTACTATTTATTATTGCAGCTATTTTTTTTAATAAATTCAGATTATTCAAAAATTTTTCAATCTTGATATAAAATAAACTTGGACTCAATTTAAATTTATACTGAATATGCTACTTTACTGCATGACTATTGGATTTGTCTTTATAACTCTTAAGGTATATAAGCTTTTATGTATAGATAATTTTTTAATATCAATTTTAAATCTTTATTTAGAAAAAAACATAATTCAACATTATTTTTATAAAAAAACTTTTTTCATTTATTCAATACAGCAACATTTGGTGTGAAACAGAAATGATTTATTTTCATTTTTATTCATTGATATTATTTTAGCGATAATAAAATGGGACAATTAAGAAAAAATAATTAAGTACAAATTATTTTGTGCCAGCTGAACAAATAAAAATGAAAAAAAAAAAACAAAGTAATTTGATTATATTTAACTTTAAAAAATTAATTTATTTTATTTATGTTAAATTCTGCAAAATAGCACAATAATCACAATTTTTTGCTTTTGTTTTTTTTTTTGTTTGTATTATTTACAAATGAAAGAAAGATCCGTTATCGCGTTTTTTAATTATTTAAAAATAAAAAAATATTTAATTTCAATTTTTTAATTATATACAAATGTTTCTCAATAGAATGACTACACAATTATTAACTAATATTTTACGTTCGCATTTCAGTGACTTTTATGGACAAGCACTGTCGCTTATGCTTAAATTGTCATTGCATAATTGTCACTGTTGTCAATATATGGTTAACATAATTGTGTTTTTTGTTATTTTCTATTGACGCCAATTTTAACATTAATTTCTACATTCTGTTAACCGGCCGTTTTTGCAATGTTAGCACCACTGTTAAAAACATAATTAGCTCACCTTAATTTGAACTGCAGCCGTTTTATGCTGTATTATTTAAGAAAATTTGCTTTTTCGCTGTAATACTTTTTTTCTCCTAAAATCTTGTATTAAAACACATTTTAACTAAAACAAGTATTTATGTTATTTTTGTTTTTACAAAATTATTAAGTAATCTGCAGAGGAAACTAGTTTTTGTATTACTTATAAGTTTCGTTTTTATAGTCACTTTGGTTGTAGCGCTTTTATGACTCGAACCGTTACGCGCCCGCTTACAACTGATCGGGTCTTTTCTTATTGGCGTATGAGAAGCGCATCATTTTGTGCTGTCGGTCAATCTTTTTTTTGGCTTGCGAATCGTGTTAAATGGTTTTAACATTTTTCAATTTCGTTTTGACTCTCTCACCGCTTCTGCATCTGCTTGTGCGGCTACGATCGCTGCTGTTCGAAAATAACAAATAAAAATGTCTTGCACGTTGCTTAGAAGCTCACCTGTTATGGAGATAGGCTCCATTAAATCTCGAATAAGACAGAAAAATGAAAAAAATAATTAAATGAAATTGAAAACTACCTGTAATATTGTTTTCTTATATGTTCATGTTAGAATTAGAAATTAATGATTACGATTAGACTAAAAAAAACTTATAATTTACTATTAAAAAAAAAATATTTAATTGAATTTAATTGCTGTGGTTTGAGAGAAGCCTTTAATCTATGAAACCTATAAAATTGGTATTTTATTAGAAATAAAGAAAGAAATTATTTAAAACTGATTTGCATACTTTTCTGGCAAAACTTTAAATATTTCAATTAAAATATTTTAAATATTTACATAAATATTAAGTAACTATAAAATATTAAATATTTAAATAAATATTTCTATTTATTTAAATAAATATTTTTATTTAAATATTTTCAACTAAATTTCAACCTAAATGTATTTGAAGTAAAATGGAATTCAAGTATATATATTACATAAAAAATAAATAAGCTCATATCAGAAAATTTCACTTTCTAAGAATTGTTGCGGTTAAGATAAAATGATAAAATTTTTTAAAAAATTACGAGGAGATGTCTATAAGTGAAGATATACTGACTTTTTGAATTTTAAAAATGCAAGATGATGTATAAAACATTATCAAGTTATATCGATAATAGCTAATAGCCACGAGAGGCTTGAAGGATCCACTACAAGAAAATGTTTGTGGTAAAAATTGAGCAGCCTACCAATCGTATTAATATCTTTTATATAGACATTGAAAAAGATCAAGTTTTTCTAATTAAATACAAAGGCGTACGAAATAATTATTGAAAGACGATCTATAGATGCATTCACAAAATGTCGAGTGCCAATGATTTAAATGAGATTATAATGTATTTTCGTCATGTTCGAAAAGTAAATTTAAAGTAGAGTACCTATTAGACGCCCAAAATCAACATTTGGGGGAAAATGATCGGAAACAACGAGAAGAAGAGCAAAAAGGATTGAGTGAAATAACTGTAATAATGCAGAGCCGTTAAAAGTAGAAGAACTTTTGTTTTGACTGAAAAGATTGTACTTTTCTATTATATTTGGTATTGGCAATTACTTGAGAGCTTTAAACCATAAATAACATGTAAGATAGTACACATAAAGTGTGAAGACGTTACTTTCAGCTTAGTGTAAAAATACAATTGTCTTCAAGAAATTAATGGAAAATTTTTTTTTTCATTCTAAAGTAAAAATTTGTTACTAATCACAATAGTTCTGAAATTGAAACTGCATTGCCAAATAATAAAATTAAGTATTGTTTAAAAAATAATTAAAGCTGAAACTTATACCTGCAAAATAAATTATATTTACTTTAATTAAAGAAGATTCTGGTCTGCATAATGTGTCTAAGAGAATAGTTACATAATAATTAAGATTTTATGAGAATAATGTAATGCGTATGGAAATCTGAGTTATATTATAATTGTAGGAAAAACACATAAATATATAGCTCTAATTAAATGCTTTTATGTTAACACTGTATAAGAATACTTTAAATATTTTTGTTTAAACTAATTGCCGAAAATATACAAATATTTTAATTTGTATTGCGAATAACATAAATCTTTCGTTTACATAAATAAATGAAAATTTATTGTCCGCACTGCTTAATCCTTAAAAGGGTTAACATATTAGCTAATTACGGTTTTGAATCGAAACCGACAGTTATAATGATTACAAAATACATGTACCGCGGCACATATATTTCCTAATGACTTTTAATTTTATTTTGGAAATCCTTTTAATCAAATATTAATTTAAAGCGTACAATTTTTAATGTATCCGTAAGGACAAAATGTTTGGAAATTAAATAAAAACTCGCTCTCTCGCCGTGGAATTCATGTAAATATTTACGCATAATTGAGTGCTTTTAGCTCCAAAGCCGCGAGCTGACAATTTATTTTAATATTATTTCGCAATAAATGACAAAAAGTAATTTCGTGTGATTAAATCCTTTTGGGGGAAATTATTTTTGACTTTTTTTGCGAATGAAGATTAAGCGATGCATTAAATTTAAAAGGAACCACTTCGGCCTTTAAAGCGGATTTGTAATTTTTGTCATACTTATTTTATTCTTAGTATTCCTTAATTTACCTTACATTTAAGATATTTTGTTTTCTTTTTTATTTCTTTATTTTTTGTTTTTTTCTTTGCATTAATCTTACTTTGGCATTATTTTGGGTGTTGTAATTTCTTGCTTGACATCCGTTTTAGGATTTACCACTTTAAGCGATTCCGGCTGTGTGCTCTTCCTCTTTTTCCTCGGAAACATTTGAAACACCAGTTTTCTTATGTTTTCCTTTGTTCCGTTTTTTTTTGCATTTACCTTTGAAGTCTACTCTTCCGCTCCCTGCATTTCTTATTGTGACAAACAAGACAAAAGTTGTGAAGAGAAAAGACAAAATGAAAGCATAGCTTTAGGCTGAGTTGGCTTTTTACTTTACAGCAAAGCAAGCATGTTAAGGTTTTTCTATTCCGTACAACATAGAAGCTAAGATGTGTTGACCTTGATGCTTCATATTAGAGGACATTCAGAATAAATTGAAAATAATAATCAATTAATTATTATATTATATTATCATATTGATAATGATTTTCTTAAATCAATTAAATGTCTTTGTGGTGATATATAGTTCCGAATAGAATCAGATGGTAGCTCTTAAGCGTGAATATTTTCGGAATATCTGAAAAGGTTAGATTATCCAAAAATGAAAGTCAGGTACTAAGGTAAACAGTAGAAGTCTTAGAAAAAATGTAATAAATTTAATAATTTTTTATAAGACCTAATGCCCTGCACTAATGCACAAATGGAATAGACTCCTGGGAATGTATATTCTCACGGAAGAGGAAATTAAACTCTGTAAAGTAGGTTCTATATTACTTTTTATTGACGCAACAGGGCTTAGAGCCCAGAATAGACTCGACTGTCGCAGTGCCACATCCTCTAACAATAATAATAATATAAGACTTAAGAAAAAGTATTAAACTAATACTTAAAATTAATAAGTTCATATTGACAGTATAATATAATTATTCATATCTAAAGTTGAATTGATTTTTAACAGAGACTTCAGTTGATATATTTCAATTGAGACTGTTTGAAATAGAAATCAAAACGTGAACCATAAAATGATTGCAAAAACTGACTTAAAAAGTGAGTCAAAAAATTTATCAAAAATTAATAACTGTTAGTAATAAATAGAATTTTATTTTTAAACAAAAAGCAAAGTTTAAATTAACAGCAACTAGTCACATTGACTAACAAGAGGTTTTTTCATTTAATATTACAAGTACTGTTACTTAACTAAAATGAGCATATAGATCAAGCTAGTCATCTCCTTAACGCCTTAAAAGATCCTTTGGTTTCATCGCAAAGTGACGCCGGAATAGTGATGATCCTGTCATAATGAGTATTGGCAGGCTTTTGTATTTTTTGCCTGATAGAAGATATTTTAAGGTCAAGATGTAGTTCAACATTTCGCACATACCAAGGAGAAAGGTTTTGGAACCTTTCCATCATATCTATTATATGATTTTATGCACAAACTTAAGTTTTGAAATTTGAAATAAAAAGAACTAAAATACTTATATATAATGAAATATTTTGTGTTTATCGGATTTAACAGATACTTTCAATTTTTAATAAAGTTCATTTAAACTTATAATAATTTCTTTTAATGGCACAATTTTTACTATGGTTATTAATGAATTCCGAAAAATTACTATAACAACCTGATCTTTCTAAATCACTGAGCTGGAAGTATTTTCATTAAATTTGGAAAAATATGTAGCAGTCTTTTATAGTCAGATCTGTGAAATGATTTTGTAACAAAAGCATTGGACCAAATAACATAATTAGACTAGTGGCACTTAATTCGCTATAATTAAAATAGTAAAGGCTCATTAAAGATCATCTTCATTACTGAGTTGTAGAAATAAAAATTTTTGTGACAAATACACTAAAAATTGGTAAAGATGTTATCAATATTATAGCAAATTTGATAATATTTTTGTTTTAATTTTTTATCATACTGTGGAAAATACTGTAACAGTAGGTATGTAAATTTTGTAACGGCCAAAATTTTGTCAACCAAAAATTTGATCGTTACAACGTCGTGGGTATAGCTGTCTACTAAACACAACACGACCACCTAACACACAACAAGTAACACTCACTCGAAGGTTCCTGTAACAAAAATTGTTAAATACTTATAAAAACATTAAGTTAAACCAACTCACCCCAATCCTCTGCCACCAACAACGTGACTTTGAATTTGACAAATCTTAAAATTGTATGAAAATCCTTGGTTAGTGCGTGAACAATTTTTGAATAAATAAGACACATATCTTGAGCTATCGTTGGGTGTTCTATTTTGCTGGAACTTTATTGGAAAATAAAATCATTTTAAAATAATTTTCTAATTAATAGAATTAAATACACACGTTCACCGGCACAACACATTGCTAACAAACAAACGAGAGCAAAACAAAATAATAGTAAAGAGACCTGTCAAACGAAGAAAGCTTTGTGCAGAAAAGGTGTAGAAGTGGATCACAACTCAGACAAAAACCACTTCTAAAAGGTACTCAAAGAAATGTAAATTCGCCGTGAAACTAAACTTTCGCTCAGTGCGGTACAGAAAAGGAGCTTTAATGTTGGGTCAACAAACTTTAACGTTTTTTCAGCTGACACCGTTGACCATGGAGGGGATAAAAGGAGCGTTCACCAAGAAGAAGGTCTCTTGTTTGTTCTACCGCGGAAGAAAGACTCCTGGCTCTGGTTTCCGTTGCAGCTAAAAAGTACGTGACTAAGACGGCGGTGTCACCA